TCTTGAAAATTTGTAACTTATCTTCATATTCCAAGAAGAGTCTTATATAGTCAGTCTCACTTACCCCAGCACCCTTCCCCAATGGCCATTAAAATTCACTAATTTATGTTATTGTTGTTAAGTCCCTTTGAGTTGTCTATGACTCATACTGACCCTATGTACAATAGAACAAAACACTGTCTGGTTCTGTGCCATCCTCACAATTGCTGTCATGTTTGACCCCATCATTGTTGTTGTTATGCCAGTCTATCTTCTTGTGAGTCTTCCTCTTTTTCAATGATCTACTGTAGTAATATAATGTCCTGTTCCAGGGTCTGGTCCTTCCTCACAACATGGTCCAAAGTATATGAGATAAAGTTTTGCCACCTTGTTTCCTCATTATGACTGTACTTGTAGGAGATATTTCTTTGTTCTTCTGGCAGTATATGTTACTTTGCAACATTCTTCATCAACACCATAATTCAAATGCATCCATGATTCTCCAGTCTTCCTTACTCATTGCCCAATATTCAAATGAAAATGAAGCGACTGAAATATCATGGCTTAGGGAAGGGGCACCCTAGTCCTCAAACTGACATCTTTGCCCACAAACATTTTAAGGAGTCTTTCACAGTAGATTTGCCCAACGCATTAAGTTGTTTGATTTCTTGACTACTGATCCCATTAGCACTGATTTCTACTCATAGTGAAATAATCACCATTAAAGCCAGATGTGCTAATGTTTTGTTAAAGCTAAGGTGATCTGAATCTGAAAAGATAAAGTTTAGTAAAAAAATGCATTTATCCTTTCAAAGAAAGTTTGCTTATTTCTATACCTGGACTCCTGACAGGTATATAAAATACAGTGTATCCCAAACTGAATTAATTATCTTACTATGTTGAATCTGTTCTTACTCCAACATTCTTTATTTCAGGTAAAGGCATTGCTATTGACTCAGACTTTGATTTTTATCTCCATTTTCTTATTTATTTCCTTTTTATATTTGAACACTTTTCTATTCAAGAAAGCTCCAAAAATTTATTTATTTAATCTAAGATTTGGCCCTTATGATCTTTAAGTTAGACCACTAATATACACTTTCATAACAAGTCTTCATGGATCCAATAGTTTGGTTTTCCTGGGCATCTACATTATTGCTAAAAAAAAAAAAAAGCAAAACATTCCAAGACAACTTGTTGAGTATATAATTATGTCCAAACCTAGTACCCAATCTGGTACCATAATGCTCTCCCACCTTTTACCATTGCACACCATATAATTTATTCTTTAGTCTTAACTAACTTTGAAAATGTTATACTTTTCTGAATCTATGTGTTTGTACTTGTTATTATCTTATGATTTTATCATCCCCTTTGCTTACAATGTTTCATGAGAATTTATTCATTTACAAAGACATTAAAATGCCCTTCACTGAGAGGCTATTCTCAAACTTCATGTATTTCTTTGCCTTCCCTAAGAAATGCTCATTATTATCCTAACTGTGCCCTACAATGGAAACAGCTTTTGTCACATCACGTCAAAGTTAGGTATAAAAGTGTTTTCCATGCTAGATTTTGTATTCTTTGAAATTCCTGGCTTGGTATTATGCGTTCACTCATTTTTATAATAGTGTTTAAAACAATGTTTAGTGCATAGTAGTTATGTATTAAATTTATATTAAATATGATTGAATTGAACCACTAGCATTTTGCACTTCATGTGTAGAGTATATTTTATCAGGATTATGATGAATCCTAATTACCTAGTATTATTGTAACTTCCACAAATTGGTGATTTTAATACCTAGAAATTTATTCTATCAGTTTAGAGGGTTGTTGCTGTTAGGTGCCATTAAGTTGGTACCTACTCATGAGACCCTATGAACAGCAAAACGAGACACTACCCTGTCCTGGGCTAACCTCACAATACTTGCCACACTTGAGCCCACTGATGCTGCCACTTTGCCTATCCATCTCTCTGGGGTCTTCCTCTTTTTCTCTGACCCTCTCTCTTACCAAATATGATATCCTCTCCAGTGATTGGTCCTTCCTGACAATATGTCCGAAGGAAGTTTGGCCATCTTGGCTTCCAAGGAGCACTCTGGCTGCATTTCTGCCAACACAGATCTGTTGGTTCTTTTGGCAGCCCATGGTACTTTCAATATTTTCCTCCAATACCATAACTCAAATGCATCGATTCTTCTATGATTTTCCTTATTAACTGTCCAGCTTTCTCATGCATATGAGATTATTGAAAATACCATAGCTTGCGGCAGGTGTATTTTAGTCTTAAAGCTGATATCTGTGCCCTTCAACACTTTAAAAAGATCTTGTGCAGCAAATTTGCATAATGGAATACATCTTTTGATTTCTTGGCTGCTGCTTCCATGAGTGCTGATGGTTGATCTAAGACAACCTCAATCTTTACTCCGTTGATTACAATGTTGTTTATTGATCCAGGGTGAGGATTTTTGAGGATTTTTCAGCAATCCATACTGAAGGTTGTGGTCTTTGATTTTCATCAGTAGATC